AGGGATGCATGTGCCCGTGTAATGGAGAGTTACTTGTAGAGTATTTAGTTTATCAATTAAGAGAATAAAGAAAGGAATATAATCCCTTTTTGGAAAAAATTTATTTGATTTAGAAAGTGCAAGAAGGTAATGATCGAAATGAAAAGAAACACAGTAGAAATCATCGTTTATAAAAATTGACACTTGAAGTCGGCATATGTTATCAAAACGGATCGACTTTCCTTCAATCCTTACACTTAAGCGTGTTTTCCAAACGTGAACTGAGGCGCACGAATTTCCCTCGCTCTCATAAAAGTACATCCTTCCAACTTGACACCATCTCTCCAATATTTACCTGATATATCTGACATTCATTGATACCTTCGAGATGATTGATTAGAAGCTTAGATAGAAGCTAAAGCAGATTTATCATTAACTTTGTATAATTTATAGAGAATACACCTAATGGAGGGAAGATTAGAACACGCACAGAAATAGTACCTTCATTACTTTAGTATATTTTATTTATTATTTTATGTCAGCTTATGAAATAGCCGTCTTAAATCAAAATATCAGATGAGATCATTTTTAGTATGATCTTGTTTAATAAAAGAACAAAGTTCACATATTAAATAAAGGGCAACCACACACGCCCACATACATATATATAAGAATATAAAAAATAAAGAAGTTTTTTTTAATATGAAATAAGTAATGAAAAGTTTAAAACTTAAGATCATAGATTCAGCTGCAGTTGGTAAAGAGTTATTTTTAACTGCTGAGAACTAAAGTAAAATATCGTTCACGACATCTACTGTTGCCCATTCGCTTAATTCAATAATTATTCAGCGTTATTCTCAAGATAATTGTTAATCCCTCATTGTTTAGTGTTATTATTGTCAAGAAATCATGATTTCAGCTACTTAAATATTTTATTATATTGGGAAAAAAGATAGGAAAAAGAACGATTTATGCCATGGTAATCATAGTGGTGCGTTCAACGGCATACCAAAGTCCACTTTTTTAATATGACAAATACTGTTTAACCATGGCGATAACAATGGTCGCGATTTGCGTAGGACTTTCATTTTTCGCCAAGAATAGCGAGAAGGAATTTCTTATAGTGACCCGATGTATCGTCCTTGATCATCTGACACAAGCTTGTTTTCGTATACTTTGAATCGAAAACTTTTTGAATTTCCGCCAAAGAAGTCTGCCAAATAGGAAAAATAATGGCAAATTAAAGGACCGAAATAATCATTATTCCGCAAGATTTTAAAGCCTAATGTAATTATTGATTGACAAATAATACTGCCAATAAAAGACTATTGTTCGAATTTGTCGCTAACTTCCCAAATAGGTTTTCTAATTATAAAACTAACAGACCGTTTTTGAACGTGTGGGACACGTTATCGCTTTGTGCGCCATCGTATGCCTGCATGTCTGCCCACCAGGATTGGGAGGTGCGCCGTACAACTCTGTGTGCAGCGACCGTACAAACAGTGACCAATCATCAACCTCTGTTTAACCTAATCCCCCATCCCGATCATGAGTAGCTCCCTGCGTGTACACTTCATCCGCAATACTCGTACTTAATAAGGGTGCTCCGTGCTACACGTCTGTTTCCTTTCATAGCTGCGCTATAGCTTAGCTGGTTCTGGGAGTCTAGCTAGATGATGTAGGAGAATCTGCCATAGAGATTTCTGAGCCGGTCAGGCTTTACTAGCGTAGCAATCCGCTACAAACGCAACGATTAGGGATCATTAGGCAGATGATTGCGATGGACTCACTTCCGAATACGCCATGATAACTCGAGTCAGATTTTCATCATGAGTTCCCGTTCCAGCCATACTGTTAAAAAGGATATCCGCAATGCACTCATTTTTATTAATAGCTGTCTTTACTAAAACGCAAATGGAAAATGAAGGAACATTTTTACATAACGTTCAAATTATTACCAATAGTAATTAAGGAGCGCTTATAATCCCCAGAAGTCTCCTTCTCTATCGCCTTGAGTAAGTCATGGCCAGCCAACTAAGGTACAAAAAAGTCACACTTAGTAACTATTTCAGATAGCGTAATTAAAAATTATAACAGGGGTTAGCGATCTTATTCAAATAGCAGCTTACTGAAAAGTATTTAAGTAGATTTCATTTTTAAAGAGGAAAATGATTTATAGATACATGCAATCGACCGACCTCTTTGTAAGCTTTATTTATTGCGCGGATTGATTTGAAACTTCGAGTAACCAAAATTCGAGTAAATACTGATTCATCCGTCCCTAATTTCCTAAAAAAATATATAAAACATTGTTTATATAATAATAAAGATAGTTTTGATTCAGATTACAGGATTGAAAATTCTTAAGTTTCAAATTGCGTGAAACTGGCTAATTTTTATGAAATAAATTGGCAACAAATAAAGCTTCGATTGGAATTACAACCTAGGACTTTCTTAAGAGAACATTTAAGCCATCAAAGGTTTTATGGCTTCAGCCATTTTTATAGACAAAAAGCGAAGCATTCAAATGGAAAAACGTACTTTACACCACTATTATAGAACGCTTCCGCATCTTCCCGAACTTGAGCTTCATTCAACGTAGTCTCGCGTTTGCCTTGTAAGATAGCAACCAGAACAAATTGGAGATCTCCACTTACGTCCTCTTTCACATCGGTTTCTAGGCTACGCTTCACAGCTGGTGTTTAAATAGCCAATCTTGGTTACGCATTCAATGGATCACATTGGTACAAATGTCTCCAATACTTACCGTTTTGTCTCTCTTCCAGAAGTACTGGCATATAAGAAAACAAAACAATAATGAAAGAGTAATGAGATCTAATAACATTATAATACGAATAATTTTAGTCGCAATTTCATACGAAACTGAGTAGAATGAGTAGAGAGTCGTTTTAACTACATATGAAAGATTTCTGACTTTTAATACTCAATTTCTATCAAATGGCAAAGGGAAAAGACACATTAATCGAGTATTTTATAACTATATGGCTAATTCAGAATTTGTTTAAGGTCTGCCAATGATTTCTTCACAAATTTGGAATCTCGCCCCCCCCCTCCCCTCCCCGCCCTCACCCTAGGTGCGTAGGCGCCTTATCGATTTTTTTCACGCTACCAAATTTCAGCTGATTTAGATTTACTCTACGGTAACCTAGTTGCAAGGTCAACGTGATACATGAGTGGATTAGGAGCTCTTGAGGTTTGAGCTAAACAGTTCAGGCTAAAATATTAACACCCCCTCAAATGCAGCCAATATTTAGCATCCCGTCTCAAACGCCTTGTAAAAATGGTCTGTGAATGGTGTCTAGAAAGAAATTTAATGGCCAAATTCCAGACACGAAAACGCAGAGTTAATGAGACAAATTGGAGCATTTATAAATCATTTTCACTGAACTTCCGCATATAAACTGTCATGTTTCCGATACTTAAGAAATCGCCTTATTTTTTCTAAATGTTAAAGTCCCTAATTTGGTTGGGGATTGTGATGTCCACTGCCTATTACTTAATTGAATACTAAAAGGTTCTTGAAATTCACATACTCTTTTTATAAGCCTTCTTTAATTCACTTATTTCCAAATTATCAGATGTGCAAATAACATCAATAAGGATTTGTTCATCAGTTCCAGCTCCTTTAATGGCTCTATAGCAGGCTCTAGCATTGACGTGGCACTTATCGTGAAAAGAGTAGAGAATAACTCGACGAAAATCGCCGCTGAGTTCCTTTTGAAAGCGTTGTTGAAGATCCTAATAAGAAAATTTAGGTATCAATCAAATAGAGAGAACTTGTTAATGCCAAATGAAGTGTATATTCATTGCATACCCTTCCATAAGCAGCTTTATACGCCTTTGCGATTTCCCTTCTTTGGTTAACTGTGCGGTTTGCAAAGATTTCTGTTATTTTCTGCTCATTTGTGCCTTGAAATAGCATTGAAAAAACAACATAAAATGTCACATATATCCAATTCCAATTGCAAAAGATTTGCATTTGCAATTTTGTCTGGAGGTGAGTTTGCGAAATGGCCTGAACAACCTTCCAATCCGCACTCCACGTGGACGTATGTAAATTGGGTTAAAAATAGGCTTGGAGCAGCATTTGGGGCAAACGAAGACTATAGTACTGCCTCTATATATATATATATATATATATATATATAGAGCCATAAACATGCACAGCAAAATCCCACCTAAAGTAAGCAATCGAATTTAAGGCCATCTGCAAGTTGTGGAGAGCATAACACTGCCAAGGATGAAGAAAGAAAGCTCACGTGCACTAGAAGCGTCTGGAAGGTGCGAACGTGCTACTGATCACATAGCGTGCAAGTGGGGTCGTGGGCGCAATATTGCTTGTATTATCTACAGTCCAAATTATACTGTACTACTGTACTGTACTGTACTGTACTGTACAGTACTACTGTACTGTACTGTACTACTGCACTGTGCTACTGATCACATAGCGTGCAAGTGGGGTCGTGGGCGCAATATTGCTTGTATTCTAATGACTAGGCTTAAACCTCTATGTGCAGTATCCACGCTATTAATCTCTATTTCAGGTTAATAATAATAATTACTGTTAGAATTTGAATTGACTGCAACCTTGTACTATCTACAGTCCAAATTATACCTTAACAATTAACCGGTTAATTAGACAGAATTCAATATAATGGATTTTTTCATCACGACGTACACAGTAAGTAAAAAAGTAAAATGGAGATAAAAAGATGTAAATGAAAGGAAAAACCTGTGAAGTTCCAATCTTTCACAAATTCCTCTCTAACCTATTAAGAAAATCGCTAAAATTCCCAAGTGAAATCGAGTTTATTTTGCATTTAAAAGGGAAATTAAATTTAAATGGTCCCATCTACTCACTCAACACATTTGAATAGCCTACCTTATAAGTAATGCTTATTCTTAGGTGTAAACATTAGAGTGATTTCAAATTTCGATTTATTTATTTATTTATTATAATTCTCGCAATAGAGTTTTGATACAATGTTAACCGAAAAATTTCCGCTCAATCTCTGCTCACACAAAAGGGGAATCTCTGAAGTTCGGCTCAGTACTTCAAATATGCACAAAAGTATGAAGAAATCGAGCACTCTAATAGGCAAACAACATACCCCAAATACAGGGTTTGCGAAAACAAGCAGTTATGAGGGAGAGGTCTATAGATCAGATGGTGGACAGAAAAATGTAAGAATTGGGATTAGCCTTACAAGTTTGAAATGTGTGGCTCAGAGTTAAACAAAGTTTAAGGGAAGATACCCTTTTTATATAATTTATATAATTTTAGCCAGACATCACTTGGTTTTGAAGTCTAGAAGTCTACCGCTATGCTAAGATTGCTTTCTCTAACTTAAATTAGGGAATGAAATCACTGAAATTGACTTCATTACATTAATGATTCAGGGAGATATTTAGTACTAGATGACTAACGTTCTTGGTTGGCAATAGAATAGACCTTGCATTCGCCACAGCCTAAATATCGACACCAATTTCCTAGTGAAAAACAGCGTTTGAATATGAATGGAATATATTTCTGAGATGTTACTGCAGAAATTAAGTGATCTGGAGCATATAATTTTAACCTTGGAGTTTTGAAATTGATCTACTACAGTGTGGAAACTTTCGCTCTTACTTCCTTCTTAAAGAATCCATATTTGACCAAAATATTTACACTTAGATATGAACTGAATATCAGTTGGAGTTTGAGAATTGAAGGTAACAATAAATCAGCTGATAAGCTTCAAAAGATGAGCCATTCACAGTTCATATGCAGTGATGCATCTCCCAAATAAATGTTCTGTTCAATGGCTCATTTTCTTAATTGCTGTTCTTATTTACTAATCTGTTATATACACTGTCCAGGTGGTTCACCCTGGGCAACTTAAACTCATATGACAAAAAAGGCTATAAACCGGCAGTTGACTTCAAACTGCATGTCATATTCAACCACTTCAACAGTACTCCCACTTCATTTTTCCATACTTCTGTGTCTAACTCGTTTACATCTGTGAATCACTCTTCTGTTCCACCTCTCCACTTTTTGAGACTTTGATGTTCTTCCCCTCTGTAAACCCCGAAGTCCACTAAAGGTCTAATGATGGCTATCATAATGTCCGCCATTTGATAAAATTATGCACTGTTCATGTACCGTTCGATATGGAGCAATGGATGGATGGAAATAAGACTTACCGAAACCCTTCATTGCTTTTTCCAACTCGTTTGCATCTTCGTTCGCGTTCAAATTCGCCACGGGTACTACAGTCGCACCAGACTGCATTGTATTTCCCAAAATGTAAACTTTTTTCAAATATCCAACGCCTCTCTCTGATAAAAATTAAAATATTCAGCAATTAAATAATACTTAAATAAAGAGGAGAATTAAAAACGGGTGTACTTTGTGTGGGTGGCAGTGGAAATCTAATCTTGATTTCGCGCCAAAATTAAATGAAAGCTTCAGGGTGGATGTGGTTTTATAGTTCCACAAGTGACGATTTCATTGGCCGATCGTCCATTAAGTTATACTTTAATGGTAAGTTGAGGACATTCCCATGGCATGACCTTAAAATTATTTTATTATTACTAACACCAAATTCTAGACGGTTTAAAATAGAAAAAAAAATTGGAAGAAATATTGATCATTCCGATTAACAACCCACTTCCTAAAAGTTTTAGTGGCATTTTTACTAAATGATTCCAAATAATTCTACGTGGTAATTAAATATAGGAACTGACAAAGGTAATAATAATTTTTCTTAAAATTGACTAATAAATAGCCACGTGTTTTACCCATCAAGTTATTTAATTGCGGTTGAGGTGTGCTGGAAAATGAAAAATGATGAAGGGAGTGCAAATGGAGCTTCTATTAAAAAAAATCTATTGCATTGGATTTTGGTTAAAAATCCTTTGTAGATTTGTCCATATAAGTTCAACACTCTAGTTGATGGAAGTCAGTGAATTGTGTTAATGACAAATGGTTAAGGAGACAAAACAGTATGCAATCAACAGAAAGGAGAGATTCATTCACACTCAAGTTGAGGAGAGAGAGACTCTGAAGAGGCCAATCCCCATGCTCTTGGAAAACGTAGAAATGTTATAACAATAATAATAATAATTCATCAACATCTTTGTACTCAAAGTTGAACAAATTTGTCTCGTTCCCGTAAATTAACCCATCTAGAATAGTCATTAGTAAGTCACATTTCAACCACCAATGGCCATGCTTCCTCTTTTCCAATTCAATTTGCTTGATTATTTTAACTATGCTGAGGCAAAAAGTCAGATGCAATTCTGAGACAATTGAAACTTTTTAATAATTAATTAGAAAAAAATGGCAAAAATGCACATTTAGACGCCAAGATGTGGAATTATATGGAACTCTTTAAAGGTATTCAAGGCCCAAACTTTCTACTTAGTAGAATTAAAAGTGTACTATGTACATACTCTTTTTGTTAGAAGTGGCATTTGGTTTAACGCAGTAATCGATTTTAAACCGTTTAGATCTAATAACATACTCAGATATTGGGTGGTGTTTTGCGAAAATTTATTCAACAGTTAAACATGACATGTTTGTAGGTTGCATTATGATATACGGGCTTTAGAGTTTTCTAGAATAGTATTGACATTATCGGCGAACAATCTTAACTTTGTGAAGTATTCAAAAGTATGTGCAATTTTCTACATATCTCAACGAAATTATTTTCACAAAGGTATATTCATTAATGTAGTCTGTTTTATGTGCACATTAAATGAATAAATCGATAAAGTTACGTTACCCTTTTTATTAGAATGAATTCATTAATGTAAAATTCAATTTACCCCGAAACTGTATTTAAATGAGCCGATATTTGATCATTTCTTTATTTTTTCAAATGGCGGGCTTTTGGATAGTTATAATTAGCATTTTAGCTGACTTCGGGCTTCATAGAAAGGAGGAACATCAAAGTGAGAAAAAGTCGAGAGGGGGGAACAGAAGAGTGATTCACAGATTTAAAGGCGACTGACAGACACATAGGTAGAGAAAAAGGTAAGTTGAGCACTGCAAAAGTGGTCGGATATGGCATAGAGTGGGGTCGCGGTAGTTTGGAGTCAAAAGTCAATTGCCGGTTTGTTGACTTTATTAGCATATGAGCATACGCTGTTCAGGGTGCACCACGTGGTGGAGGTAAGTCTCTCTCGCGGCCCATATTTGTTCATTATTTTCATGAAAATGTCTTTCAAAATTCCTTAAGGACAACTGTAAGAGGACTTACACTGAAAGGAAAAAAAATATTTAAATCAGTTCCTTTGGGGAAAACTCGTTCTACCATCTCTCTCTCTTTAACCAGATTTGACTGTTATCGTTTGAGCATTCTCAATGCAGGATACCAAACAACGAACGTCTCATTCGTTAGGACAGACGATCATATGTAACACTGCATACATGGTACTTAATTATCTTATGTGCTTATTATATGTGCTGGTGATTAGAATTCAAAGTGTACTTTTTTGTGTATACTGAAATAATGCTGAGGAGAATCATACCGTTTACGACTGAAATAAGTCTAGCCATTTGAATGGACGAAATGTTAGAGGAATGCATGGTAAGTCTCAGAGCTTTATTGAATAAAAATTAGCAGGCTCCATGGATATGCTCAATCATGACGTATAACTTAGACAGCTATTATCGCAATCAAGAGTTTTTACTGATTTACATGTCCCACTTATTTTTGTGTGGGTGGGTGGGGGAGGGAGGGCAGGGGGAATATTTAATTGATTTTCAACTGGCGACTAACTCCGACTGTTCCACTGGAAGGCCACTTGATTTAAAGAAGTAAATCTCAACGTGTAAATTTAAAATCATTGCAATTTGTCACTCATCATCTTACGAATAAAATAAAACTTTTCTTTCATATCTCTAGTTTCCCATAAAACTTGCCCATGTATCTACCAAAATGTTAACTCTATGAGCAGGAATCAAAAATTTAAAGTGGGTAGGATACAAGATTGTTACGTTGCTAGCATGTACATCATAGCCGTTGGTAAAAAATTTGGAATGAGTTAGTGGGACGAACCACCAAATGTACCTAAATCATCCTTAGGTCTATAGACGGAGGTTGAGAACTCCTCATGGAAAAATTGAAGCAAAATTGCCGTCTCTAACGAATTTCTCATATTTCCGTGATCCTCTTTGTCTATTTGTGATCGAAGGGACAATAAGACTTCATAAGCAACTTTTTACTAATCCGTTAAATTAGTAATTGTGATGTGCAGTCAGTTAATGAATATGTAAAATAAATAAATAAAATAAATTGAACGTCGTGAGTTTAAATTCAAACAATCTTCCCCAAACAACTATTTTCACCAAAGATTTTTGACATAAAAGGTGCCTAGGTACGTATGTGATGTTAAAAAAACAAGGCCAATTTTAAATGAATAGGTAATTTTAATACTGCTGACCTAAATACCAATATTTCCATAATTGATTTTTCGTAATCTGTAGTGATATTGCGCCCAATCAATGATTGCACATCGATAGATTTGGGTGTTCAGCATTTTAAATATTGTGAGGGTTAATTTTCCATTAACACAATGGAATGAAATAAGAAGTTGATTTCAGTCGGTTTTCAATAAGGGTATTTTTTTTAATATCATGTGACCCAAAGATGTGACTCTGTGATGAGGTCGTAGACTTTGAGCGTTAATGATTATTAGAATATCATTTTCGATTGACACCAAATTCCATCTACTCAAATGAATCAGTGTCCATAAATAAACGGCACATTTACCAATTCAGCAAGAAGTCATGTGACTTGTAGACATTGTTAGGGATTGGAAAATGTAGTGAGCATTTCTCAAAAATTATCATATATCATATAGCGGTACCTGAATTTGTACAATTCTTTAATGCATTCATCTTCCAAATAAGAAGTGACATATTTATTAGTATTGCAATTTAAACTTAGTTGCAATTCGCCCATGAGGTAAAACATGGATGCAGTATTAATAGCATTTAACCTTAATCAGCCAGATTTTACACAATATTCTTTTTCAAGGCACTCGTGTTTAGTGGCGATTTAAAAAGAACATTTGCAAACCTGAAGTATCTAAACAAAGAGAGAACCTCCAACAAAGTAACTGGCACACACGTGGTTGGCTTATTTGTGCGTTGTTTTGGATACTTAAGCACTTTAATGCATGACCTCTTGCTTAGTCCACACTAATAGAGATTGGAGAAAAGTAAAACTATGCTACTTATTATTGATTAACAATCCAGAGTAAATCTCATTTCCTCTTCTTGTCTCATTGCAGATGGCTTGCATCAAACCGTTTGGAAACTTCAATGCCGTTGAGGATTGTAAGGCCTTGGAGAAGGCTATGAAGGGAATCGGCAAGTCATAAATATATTACTTAACCCACACCGAAGACACATTAATTGATCTTGAAAGTTGCTTCCATTCTTATGTTTTAAAGGAACCGATGAAAAGGCAATAATTGACATTCTCGCCTATCGCTCAGCAGCGCAAAGGCTAGACATTATGTCAACCTATAAGGCCCAATTCGGAAAGGTGACTTTTTTGTGTTAAATTTGCCCACTTAAATACATGCCATGGGGGACTTTGTACTGAATCTGATTTCACTGCCCCATAGGATCTTTTGAAGGAGTTGAAGAGTGAGCTAAGCGGGAGATTTGAACAGGCAGTTCTGTGGTCTTTCAATGATAGGGCCCATGTTAATGCTACCGCGCTGTTCAAGGCCATCGACAGGGCAGGCACCGATGAATTGATGCTCATCGATGTTCTCTGCACGGCTACTCCAGAAGAAATAGTGGAAATCAGAGCAGCCTACCTAGACGGTAAGTCTATTCAACTGTGTGCACAGTTAAAAATTCACACTTTGAAAGTGAAATGCATCTTCAAATTTCCGTATTTCAGTTTTGGAGTTGAAGAAGAAGAAGAGTAAGCATTATGGATAGATTTAGTCAAACTCTTACTGAGAAATATCAACGTAACCCCTTTACAGATAGGGATCTGGAGAAAGACATTAGGAGTGACACTTCCGGAGACTTTCAAAAGCTTCTGGTTGCCCTGCTTCAGGCATGTCGTGAGGAGGGTTGTGATGAAGCACAAGCCAAGATCGATTCATTTGACCTCTACAAAGCGGGTGAAGCGTAAGAGAATACTGCAAAAAATGATTTGGTTTAATATACTTCGACAAAATTACTAATTTTCTGTTTTAATTTGTCCTCAGGCGAAGCGGAACTGATGAAAGCGCCTTCACTCGAATTATTGGCAATCGAAGCTGGGAGCATCTTCGTAAAGTTGACAATTTCTACGTTGATGTGAGAAGTTCTTCCAACTGATTATTCAATCGAAAAGATATACTGAGAAGTCATTTACTGTTTTTTATTTGCAGCATTATGGCCACAATTTAATTAAAGCTATTACAAAGGAAACTTCGGGAGATTATAGAACAGCACTTATTCGAATTAGTAAGTTCCTACTCCGAATTTGGCTGAAATGTTACTGCCAATATAAGGCCGAGTTGCATCAATATCCCCCATTATATTAATATAAAAAATGTGCCATTTATCCCACTGTTATTATTTTATATAAAATATCTGCGTTTCATTAACAGCACAAACATAATTCATATTTTCAAATTTATTGACTCAATTTACATATAATATTGGCATAATAAATGTTAGATATGCTCTTACTTATCAGCATTAATTAATTAATTAATTCTTCTTTTTTATTTTTATTATGGTGCAAACTGCCACAAATAGGGCCGAAACAGTTGCAGAAATGTTCTACAAGAGCATGAAGGGAATGGGAACTAATGACGATAATTTAATTCGCCTAGTTCTTGTGCATTCAGAGGTAGACATACATTTCGCCTTATTTATTTATTAATTTAGACAATTATGGCCTTGATAAACACAAATGTCCTTTATTTACTCTATTTCAGACTGATTTGGCCCATATTAAAGATGTTTTTCACAACAAATATGGCAAATCATTGGAGGATATGATCAAAGGCGACACTTCAGGGGATTATAGAAAGTTCCTTCTCGCTATTGTTAATCAGTGAGAAAAAAACTAGACAAACCTAATCTCCCAACAGGTCATCGATTATATCACTTTATACGTTCATTTTTTTTATAAATACTCAGGCAATGTATAGCCTTTCTCGTGTGATTATTCTCTTATAAAATAATGAATAAAGGTCTAAAAGAAATTGTGTATATTGTGGTGGAATTTTCAATTGCTTGCGAATGTAAATGAGTAGTCGAAATATTGATCGACTTTTTTGCGTGGGATACGATTAAAATCGATATCGATTGAACTGAAAGTAACTGGCACACTTAGAACTGTCTATTTTCTCACAACTTCCGAGTTACATATTTCAAACGGGACGTTTAGTAAGGTCAAGGCAGACTTAAATGCCAACCATGGTCAAGTTATTTTTCAGGGAAAAAGTGCACTACTATTTGGAAATACCATCAAATTTCGTTTGACAGCAAAATGTTAGACAAAGTCGCTAAATATGATCTTGCTGCAAAAAGTTAAGCATTCTTTCTAACTTCACAATTATGAAGAGATCTAGTGTTCAGTTAACCATTTGTGTTTACTTTCATTACGATCACAAAAATTAAAAACGCCGCTTTATAAATGTAAATAATAGAGGAAATCTTAGTAGTAAACGAAAATCAGTGAAATAGATTTAAAAAATACAGAAATTATTTGCAGAGACAGAATAGATGTGAATTTGCAATTTCAAATATTTGCGTTATCTAAGGCAGAAAATGTAATTTAGAATCCACTCATGACTGAGTAAAAAGCACTCATTTTAATTTTTTGTAAAATTTCTTTTCTTGTTACTTCAACCTCACTAATTTACCTTCAAGTGTTGCCAAATTTATTGAATATAGGATGAAACAATAGAAACTTTCCTTTAGAGTTATTGAATACTGTTTTACTATTCCACTTCTAAGAAATACAATTATGAATTGTACCTTTATTATTTAGTTCATAATTAACAAAAATAAGTAAGTGGAATTAATGACGATAAATCTTATGGCAACGCATCTGTCTCATCATATATTCTTCCTGTTCATGGACATTTGCAGTGATGCCCTAAATTATCAAAGGAGCAAAGCATTTTATGCACCAACTATTTATTTATTTCAAATGGCAGGCATTTCGATAGTTATCATCAGCCCTTTAGCTGACTTCGGGCCCCACAGAGGGGAGAAACATTAAAGTGGGAAAAATTCGAGAGGAGGGTTAGGATTAGGCAGACAGACAAACACAAAGGTAGAGAAAAGGTAAGGTGAGTACTGTGGAGTGTTTTAATTTGACAGATTGTCGGGTCATAGTAGTTAGAAGTGAGAAGTCAACTGCCGAATAATAGACTTTTTTGCCTTATGAGTATACGTTGCCCAGGGTGCACCACGTGGAGGTAAGTCTATGCACACCCTATGCATCAACTATCAAATCAGATCCACTCAATAAACGTTAGATTCACTTCATGAAGTTGAATCCAGTGGTTATGACAGGTTTGGTTATTGACCACTTATTGAATCATCAATTACTAATATCAATATATTGGTAATCGATCAAGTTAATGATGTCTCATGCGAGAAGTGTCTTTTCTGCAGAGAAGCATAGCTTCTACTGCACACAATCAGATTATACCGTTAAAAATTCTAAATTGGAATAAAGTGAACCAAAAATAGCGAGATATGTCAGCGAAATAATTCTCAACTGACATCAAATGTGCTAATTTGTGGGCATTTCTCATTCAACTGAAAGCAAATGCAGAGGTCATTGGAGTTGAATTGATGGTTCTTGTTCAAGAAATTTCAATGCGCACAGCATCTTATAATAAATAAAAATATGCATTTTTATCGCATCTTCTGATCACTTTGACCTTTTGAAAACTTCACGCTAGAAATAAACTGATGCGAGATGTGAGGTCAAAGTAGATATGAAAAGCTCATATTTATTCCAGAAAAAATTTTTACTTCAAATTTAATACAGGGATTGAATCAGATTCCACAAACAATTTTTAGGTCATTGTAAGTTTGAAACTTATTCTAATTTATAGTTCAGTAAATTACAAAAAAGGTAATAAATGTTAAAACTTTGACTGTAACTCTCAGACGCATTTGAATTAATTTGTGAAAGGCGAGACAATACATATATGGAAGAAGGGAAGTCCTCGTCCTCTTGGAACCTGATATTAGCATAATAGGGTTCGATACATAGCTCCAAAGATCGTTATTTGAAGGTCTTGGGGCCGAAATAGCTGGTCCGCAGTGATTTTGATTTCGGGGACTTAAACTCAAATGTGTAATGCTATACATCCCCGCAATCTTCGATATTATTTTTAGGTTAAAGATACTTAAATGAAAAAAGTATAGGCATAATATAAGCCTATGTCCAGGTGATTTAGATGTTGATTTATTTCAAATGTAGGCGTTTTGATTGTTGCCATTAGCCCTTTAGCAGACTTCGGGCTTCGCAGAGGGGAGGAACATCAAAGTGAAAAAATTTGAGAGGGCGGGAAGAGTGGTTCTAAGATGTAAAGAGACAGAAGGACACAAACGCAGAGAAAAGGTAAGACGAGTGATTTAGATATAAACTCTGATTAATATTCTTCTTAACTTCATGAAGAGTTATTATAATTAGTATTATTATTGCTATTTTATTAAACAACACACCAAGAATAACAGTGAATACCGAGAAGTATGTGATGTGTTGTTGCACAGTAGTATTAGCTGAATAATCCTTATTTTCAAGTGAATTTGGAATCATTTGACCATGGAGAAATAGGTAAGGACTATTTAAATGGACAAGAATTTTAAATAATTCCGATTTCGTAAAGTTTACAGAGCTATTATTGATTAAAGTATTAAGGGATTAAATTAACTTTTATCCTTTAATGGGTTGCCAGTTAGGTAAAACGGAGCTATGTGTGAGATCTGCCTTTTGAAAAATAACTCAGAAAAAAAATTTGAACTTTGGTTCCAATATTAAAATATTTTTATTTATAAGTAACCAATGAGATGCGTACACACAGAGCCTAGTTCTAATTGAAGTTTCGTATTGATTGTGTTGAGATAGGTAGTCTGATTTAAACTATCAATACCTACAACAACATGAAACTTGGTTTTAGTGAGATATCCAATCCTTAAGTAGATTATAGCTAGCTTTGCAAGTTAATAGTTTCGCTTAAACAATAGTGAGATACTCATCTGGCTAAACATTCTCGTTTTGCAGTGATGTAATTGAATGGCATTTCGAGCATGATTTGTTAACCAATCGCCTTATATTTACCTGAGCCGTTATGTCATTGAAATCCCACACATGGTAAACATTTATCATTTGAAACAGATCTCTATTCAAAAATTTTCAAATCAGAATAGAGCATCTACAAGTACCACCCCCCCCCCCAAAAGCAAATTTTTTAGTGACAGTTAGAGAAAATTAATATGGGTAACAATATTTTTTGCCAAATACATGGTTGCAAGTTGAAATAGAATCCTGTTTGATCAGGTAATTTTGTTATTTGTCATTTAGCTAGTCATTAATTTTGCTCTAAATGGCTAAATGGGGCGGTATTTTTGAGTTCATGATAATTAAGGTACATGCTAATATCAAGCGATAACATGCTACCGCATACACCATTTCTGTAATAGAGCTTATAGTACTCATTTAACGCCTCTAGGCCATCTGTGAAACCTTCAAACTATGCAAAACAATGCAGCAACTCTAATAAATACAAAATTGGTAAGCATTCTGGCATTTTTTTCACACACAGTGTTTACTTGGACTTGAACCAATCTACTTTTTAGAGTACAAAGGTGAGGCGTATGGAGACGTATGTTTACCTCAATTTGACCTTGAATTCAAACCACCCATGCTCTATTTGCCTTTAGACCACATTTGGTGACAGTCTCCTTGCTCCGGTTTTTGGAAAACTAAATAAAACTTCGTGGCATATTGATTTTTCGATTGATTGTGTAATTTGATATCGAATGACAAATTATTAAGTATGGCAAATGCTTAATTCTACTTAATAATTTCTGGAGACGGGAAATTCTTTAGGGCAAGTGTTCGAAAAGGAAACTAACATTTATTTATTTCAAATGGCAGGCGTTTTGATAGCTATCATTAGTCCTTTAGTTGACTTCGGGCTTCACAGAGGGAAGGTTCATCAAAGTAGCAGAAAGTCGAGGGGTGGGGAACAGAAGAGCGATTCACAGATGTAAAAGAGGCAGACAAACACAAAGGCAGAGAAAAGGGTAAGATGAGTACTGTGAAAGCGATCGAATATGACAAGCAGTCGTGCCATGGTATTTTGAATTCAGAAGTCAACTACCGGTTAATAGACTTTTTTGCCGTATGAGTATACGTTGCCCAGGGTGCACCACGTGGAGGTAAGTCTAACATCAATTTGCAGAGTTATTTTTTTACTTTATCATCTCATTCGAATAGGAGGGAAATAAAAATGGACTGCAACAAGCAAGCAAAAAATATGGCAAAAAACCTTAGATGCAAAACTTTGCCACGACGTCACGAATGCCACAGCATATGTCACTCTGATTTAAATTTTGCATTTCAGTTGACAAAAAAAAATCGCGTGTACACAAGTGAAGTTGTTACAAAAAATGCAGCTTTAGTCGGGCATATCTAGTGGAGTTGAACACGAGTTGAGGGGACAAAGGGCAGGTACATGTAAATTGTGCTTTGACACAAATTAATTTGAGCTCATTAGAAAGCCAGACACAAATATAACCTTTGCTCATCAATCAGTTAAGTGTATACCTAATATCGGAGCTTGGATTCTCCACAAAGCTTCGAAGGAATTGATGTACAAAAATGCTCTTCATAATAGCTACTTCAGTACCAAATTCAATTTTTTGGAACACAAAAGGCACTAATTAATATGATTATTTATGCCTTACGATAGTTAACATTTAGTGATCCATAGTGAAGTCAATTTAAGTTGCCAAATACCTTGTTTGGTTACCATTGGTGCGTAGGGTTGACAGAAGTTCAAAGATAACCTCTTTTATAAAATTG